AGTATTACTCTAGTTGATAATATACAAGATATTTGAATTAAATACTCTATTACATAAAAGGTTTGTCCAGCATAATTTAACGTGAGGAATTCTGGGATATTTATTGTTGAACATTGACTATATTGTTAAGGCATTTTGAACATTTGTGATTGGTTATCATTAATTTAAAATGTGACTAGCATATTAATTTAAAATGTGACTAGCATATTAATTTATAATTTGACTAGCATATTAATTTATAATTTGACTAGCATATTAATTTATAATTTGATTAGCATAATAATTTATAATTTGACTAGCATAATAATTTATAATTTGACTAGCATAATAATTTATAATTTGACTAGCATAATAATTTATAATTTGACTAGCATAATAATTCAAAATTTGACTAGCATATTAATTTAAATTTTGACTAGAATATTAATTTATAATTTGACTAGCATAATAATTTAAAATATGACTAGCATATTAATTTAAAACTTGACTAGCATATTAATTTAAAATATGACTAGCATATTAATTTAAAATTTGACTAGCATATTAATTTAAAGAGGAATTCCATCATGGATTTTCCCACTGTAAAATTTTGAAACTAGACATGTAGATTTTAATCACCAGATTAAGAAATTTTCCATATATTTTTTTATTTATAAGCAATGGAGTCAAGATAATTTTATCAATGGTAGAAATATGAAGATGGGTAGTGAAGTAAGAAAACAGTTACGTGATATTTGTGTTAAACTAGAATTACCTATTAAATCTTGTGGACAAGATACAACTCCTATTAGGTAAATACTATTTTGCAATTTTTTGTGAAATATTTAGCCATTGATGTGAAATTCTTATAAAAGTATACAATCATGAATAGAACTTTTTAAAGAACACAAGGCCCCTGTTTCAAGGGAAAATTTTTCGCAAATGTAAATTCACCATTTACAAACACTTTTTAGATGGATAACATTTGACATTAGAAATATTTTGTCATATACGAGAGCCAGATACATAGGGTGACTGGGTTGCAATTTAAGGGGTTGTTAACTTAGATGTATATGATTATGGATGAAACATACAGTTGTAACATTATTAGCTATGTAGATCCTTAACTAGGGATGCTGAGCTAACAAGAGTGGCATCATGTATACTGGAAGTGTAAGCACATCTTTAGTTGCTAGTGATACCCATCACAGTTGTATCATAGTGGAACTCACGAGCTTAACGCTAACAGTTACAAAAATGAATGTTGAATGATAGATATGTTCGGTTTTTTCTACAGCCTCACTAGTTAGATCACATAATCATGACTCCAATTTCAAATGAGACCAAAATAACCACAGCTGAAAGATTGAAATCAAAAGGTTTGACAACGAGACTATGTTACTACTTCAATAAAATTAACCTTTTCTTTATAATTCCCAGGATTGACTTATCTTTTTCTGCCACTGAATTGATCTGGCACTGGTCCAGTTTGAATATTTATAAAGTTCTTTATCTGGTCACATCACTCTAACTGTATCTTATTGATCTAATAGACTCTATAACATTCATAGCTTGAATTATTCTCACACAAAAAAAATATTATTATCTAGCCAGCATTCAGTGTGTTTAGGTTTGAATGTGAAATTACTATTACTGAGAGCTAGCTTGTTCTCCATTCCAGTTTGACAAGAGACTCATATAGGATATTTTTTCTTAATTGCTGATATATATGCAATTAAATGATCCAATATGAAATCAGATCTACTTGTCTTCGTTCAACTACTCTAGAAATTAAGTATATTAATTTTTGAAACACTATTACTGACATAAATCTTGCCCTCCATTCCTGTCTATTCCACATGATGTAATTGTTTCTTCATCTAATGTAACTAATATTAAAACAGATCAACTTGTCTGATATTTAATTAAATACTGTGTAGTAATACAGTGTTATAGTAATAAGTAAATTAATTTTATGTTTTAAAAAGTTCATGGTCCTTTATTGTCTAAACACATCTGTTTGAATTGACTATAGATTATCCCAACCACATCTCAGATACAACAACTGAGTAAATTAGGACAGTAGGTGCTTACTAAAAGGCATTTTGAATTATAAATATTAAAACAGAGCCTGAAAAATATGTTGTATCTCCCAGTTTCACTATTTTATCAGTGAAAATTTTTTATTATTGTATGGCATTTTGCTTTATAATAATTGATAGAATTGATTTGCAAGGTATGAAATGCAAGTATTTGGATCACAGAGAAAAAAAATCACAAAAACATGTGTCAAAAGATTTGTAATTAAGAATAAATTTCACTTTAGTAACCTTTTTATATTAATATTAACACAGGTAATAAAATGAAAACACAATATAATAAATTATAGAAAGCATTTTAAAAATGTGAGAAATCCACTCCTTGTTTCCTTGCTAATTATTTTAATAGAAAACATCAATTTTATATAAAATTCTAGTTTTATCTGATCTTTATCTTGTTAATATGCTGATTCAACACTTTATTTTACATAATGATATTTGTGATTAACTGTTAAGGCACAATTGGTCAAAGAAGGAATGCATATTAGAAGCCTTTACATAGATACTTTCTCTTTTGACCACCAGTTTAATGATATATTGAGCAGCCTTTAACGATTGATGCTTTTACAATATATTTCTGTATCCTACTGGCTTGGAGGCCAATGTATAACTTCCACACCAATTGCTCAGTTTCAAGGGAATTGGATTGATTCCTACGCTGAGTGAAGATTCTGATTCATACAAATACCATAATAACTGGCTCAATAACTTTACCATTGGATTAAAGTAGAAAACAATATTCACAGTCCAAGACTTCAGTCTGTGAGATTTCTTTCTTTTGTTAATCATGAACAACTCAAAGGATTTCCTAAAATAGCAATCAGATGACTGCCCTCCTTGTTTTTGTGGCCCCTACTCATCCCCCAACCCCATAGCCACACCTACTCATTCATAGAAATATTGTAACTTACTGATTCATAGACATATTGTAACTTACTGATTCATAGAAATACCATTGAAACTTACTGCTTCATAGAAATACCATTGTAACTTACTGATTCATAGACATATAGTAACTTACTGATTCATAGACATATAGTAACTTACTGATTCATAGAAATACCATTGAAACTTACTGCTTCATAGAAATACCATTGTAACTTACTGATTCATAGACATATTGTAACTTACTGATATAGACATATAGTATTACTGATTCATATAGTAACTTACTGATTCATAGACATATTGTAACTTACTGATTCATAGAAATACCATTGTAACTTACTGCTTCATAGAAATACCATTGTAACTTACTGATTCATAGACATATAGTAACTTACTGATTCATAGAAATAAAATTGTAACTTACTGATTCATAGACATATTGTAACTTATTGATTCATAGAAATTAGGTAGAAAACAATATTCAAATTCCAAGACTTAAATCTATTAGATCTCTTTATCTTTTTCTCAACATTAAGCAACTTGAACAATTTCTTCAAATTATAATGATGAGGAAATCTGGAACATATTGTTTCAATAGAAATATAATATTTAATACTTTGTAATTACAGTAGGTAATATTACAAGTAAAATAATATAATAAATCACCTAATAACTATCAAACTATATTTACTTTCTTACTGAAAGGTCATAAAGCATATTGATACCAGGTGTCCAGTAACAACTATCAGGTAATGATCAGCTATGAATCATCAAACCTTCAACCAACCTTGTTTAGACAATGTACTGATGGCCAACTTTTCATCTCTTATCTTTCTCTAGACCAATACTACACCAGTAAAACAATACATCTATTGATAGGATATAACTTGTTGGCTCTGTTGAATTATTACGTACAAGCTGATTTATTTCGGAGAGACAAATTTATCTGAATGGTTGCAATACAGTTCTACAAACTGAACAAATCTAAAATTTGTACATGGTAAAAAAGCATCAGTTTAAAATATCAACTTCTATTTGAAGAATCAACTTTTATTAGAAGTTCTCTTTATAAAGTATAAGTGTTTCTGTTAGAATGTTTTATTGAAAGTATTATAATATGAAGCATTTTAAAACTTTGTGGTGTTTTAGGTGTTCTAACAGAAATATGAACAGTGAGGTTTCACATTGTAAATGATGTATGCCAGTTTAATACTGCAGATTTCTATCATTCAATGGCATATCTTAAGGAAAATGTAAGACAAAAGGATATTAAATAATATGTGTGACAATTAAATAGTTCACATTTGAATCAATTGTTTTAATTGTAGAAAATGTATGACAATGGGATATTTTATGAATGCTGCTGAATTACAAACTACAGGAGAATATATTGCAGTAAGTATCAATATTTTATAATATTCTGAAGTATTTTCTGGATGTGAAATTTGTATTTGGAGTCTTATCTTTATTTGGCACCATTCTTATTTGAGACCAGACATTATGCTTCTTCATACCCTTGGAAAAACATAGCTGAGATCTCATTACTTTCGTTAATAGCTTGAATGTAATTTTCATGTATTATATTTCAGTTATCAACAAGAAAACCTGTATCAATACATCCTTCATCCTCACTATTTCGTTGTAAACCAGCCTATATTATATATAATGAATTAGTTCAAACTTCTAAATGTTATATGAGGTAAGATTAATAAGCTTTTCTCTCATTTGCTTGAGTTTTGCATGACCATTGATAAATTATATAAGCCCAGGTGTAAATTGTAAAAGGCAATATAGCCACAGATAATTTGAAAAAGTTGTAACAGTTACAAGTCCACAATTTTATGCCTCAATTAAGAGTGATAATTTCTTTTCATGATTTCAGAGATCTATGTTTAGTAGATCCAGAGTGGTTATATATGGCAGCTCCAGATTATTTCCGTAGAAGAAAATCATCAAATTCCGTGTAACCTATAAAATAATAGTAAACAGTGGTTTATCAGGTGTGATATATCAAATAGAAAAGCACCAGGTGTAACCTTCTTATCATCCTACAGATATTAATAGACTGATCTCTTTCTATCAGATACCAACTGACTGTGATTGTGCTTTCTATTGTAAACATATTAAACTGTTGTTAAAGCTGTGTACATCTAATGACCTTCTATCTTGAACGGAGAACTCAGTGGGTGAACAAGTGTTATAAAATATTGGCAAATATTTCATGTGGAGAAATGTGTTCTAACACCAGATCTTGTTACGTTATGATTAATGATTAGTGCTGAATATGAATAAGTGATAAAGAATCTGCTGAATTTGTAAATACTGGTAATGTACAAATACCTTTTTTCAGTGAAAAATAGATCAAACAACATGTATGTAATTCAGGGTGACTTGTTCAGATTTATCATTGGAGGTACAGTCTTCTTCCATCCTCTGATTTTCAAATAACCCACAGATTCTTCAAACCAAGATGGCTGTAAGTTAAGTTTCTGATTCTGTCAAACTAGACTGGAAATCAAGTGCTTTGATAAACTCACATGGATGAGATTTAAAACCTTGAATAAATAGTATAATTTATTGCTAAGATATAGAAATACAAGATAAATAAATACAATGTATTTCTATAAAAGAAACTATTAGGACACAGTTTCTATCTACAAAATGATCTGATATCACATAACTACTGGGCCCTCAACATCTTATAGCTATATTATCTACAATGAAAGCACATGTAAATAAAATATATGATTGTACATAACAATAAAAGCATTAAATATAACAATCCGTTTGTATGTATATTATTATCATGGGGGACATGATGAGGCAAATCTTGTCTAATGCAACAACTGTCTTTTCTCTTGTGAGATTATGGATCTTGTGTTGAAAAACTTCAGCAAAACAGAATGCAACTTATATAATGCTAAAAGTTATATATTATTCAAGTTCTGACCTGCAAATGCAGTTTTAATGTTTGATAGATTTCTTAATTTGTTCAATTGTTTGACTTTCATTAAAAATAGCAATGTTTTTAATAATATCAAATTAATTGAGGAAGACTAAAATCACAATAACATGATAATATAAAGACATAACAATATGGAAGATAAAAATTTAGCTAGTAAAAAAAGTAAAAAACAATGCTGTAGACCAAGAACTGACAATTACATTAACAGAATACTTTCTGTGTCATTGAGAATTTATTACACTTGCTTTTCCCTTAATTTGTAAGATAATTTTAACAATATTCTTTGAAATTTGGCAGTAATCTGAACACAAGACAGTGAGAAGACAGTTTTAAGTATATTATTATATACATGCAGTTAATGTACAAGCCTTTTATTAAATATTTACGAAACAAAGTACCTTAAAAGACTAGGTAAACCTAATTATTATGTAGTAATTTGAATTCCTGTTTCAAGACATTAGAATTTATTTGTGTGTGTGCATCTGGGACAAACAATGAGATGAAATTTTTGAGGTCATATTAATTGTGACTCTAATGAATGATATAATAAACAAGTGAAATTACAATGACTTGAATCCAACATCACTATGGTGCACAAACATTTGGAATCCGAATTGATCGACCAAAATGGAATTATTTAAAAATTAGAGGGAAAATCGCATGCAGTCAAATAATCTTCTAGAAAACAAAACTATATCACTGTACTGTACACAATTCTATTCACAATTTGTCTTTAGATTATACAAATTGTCATGGTTTCATAATAACAATCATGGCTGTCTGCTTTATCTCAATACAATCAACCTTAGAAACATGTTCAATATCTGAAATGCCCCAAATCTTAGGGAATGCCCAGTGTATACATTTCATACTCTTCCTTGAACATTTCGAAAACTTGACTAACACAATCTAACTAAAAAATAAGAAATTATGCATTTCAGATATAAATTAAAGCTATTATATAAGAGAAAGATTTAACTACGACCACAGTCAGGACAGAGAATATCTTGACCACTCATAAGAAATCCTTTACCAACCATCGATCCATTACATTTAGCACAATTAAAACAATCACTATGCCAGTGACGTTCTTCAAATGAAATGAATTTAGTTCCACCAATACCTGGAATGAGAAAAATTTCAACATTAATTATAATAACATTTAGCAACATCCATCTTAAATTATTGAATTTTGTCATCATATAGAGTTGTGCTGGCATTAATAATTAATTCATACATGTCAGCCAAATTTAGGTCATGCTCTTAAGTTACAATGCTAGGGGTGGGGTGAATCGCAGAGAAATTTAATAAAAATTTAAATATTAGGGCATATGATTATGCTCCAAGTAAATTGTACATTAAAGTTAGTCTCTGAACAAAGCAGACAAAATAAAATGCAGTTACTCTGAATTAATACTCACCAGTGATTGGCTTAGAACATTGACAACATCTTTTAGCAAACAAATCACCATAACAATCAGCACAAAATGGTTTATCTTCCTTGGATGTAAATTTCTCTCCAGATAATAATTTATTACAATTGCTACAGTCAAAACAATCTTTATGATATGGTGTATTCTTGTAGGTTACCCCACCCTTGTTGATAGCCTTAAAGAAAAATTACATTACAAAAATATCTCACTGTAACACCAAAAATTCTAGAAAATTACATTTAGAAACCCTTGAGATTGATGAATAACTTGTACAAATATTTCAGTACTTATTTGACCAAATTAATTTATTCAAAAATAAAGTGAATTGAATTGTCTATATCTTGATAAATTTACAGTTACAAGCTACAAATACACTTACTTTTACGCATTTGGCACATCTCTGGGCAAAGTTATCTTCATAGCATGGGACACAGACAACTTTATCATCTCTTGGTATAAAACTTTTATTACTAATAGCTTGATTACATACAGTACATGTAAAACATTGCTCATGCAAAGCAATAATTTCATAAAGTTAAATAAATACAGATGAAAAAAGATATTTGGCAAGTTATCATTTTGCCTGGTTATCGATATCTTTGCCAAAATGTGAATTTTTTTTGTCACGTACTAACAAACAATACTCCAATGACCTTGATATTAGGTATATTCTAGAAGAGAACTTCTGGTTTGAATTTAAGAATATGAAGACTGATATAGACCTTACATCATCTGATCATAATGAACATATTATAATTTAATACCACTGGGATTTATAAACATCCTGATATCAATAAAACCTGTTTTCAACCAATATCGTGGTACTTCACTATTCAAAATGTCATATTTTCTCAGAAGCATGAAAGGGACCAAATCATCAACCAATGCCATGGTTGACCCCACACTGTAACCAAAACTTTGTCAGTTATATGATGTTTACTCTTAAAAATATTCAAAACCTTCAGAAATATTGGTGTATAAATTCTTCGAATTAAATATGTAGCCAAAATTGCAGATCTTATTGATTTAAGATGTCTAAATGTCAAAATCACCTAAGAACTTGGACAAATATGTGTTTAAATCTCAAATAATGATGGATTAGAAATAATGTCTGATATGTGCTAGAATGATGATTTGGAATTCATTCAATAAATATCAGAATATATCAATATAATTATCTAAAGCTCTCAACAGACAAAAACTTCATAAACCTGACAGACCACCTTTTCTGTATTACCTTATTTAAATAACCCTTCTGCTGAGATATAAATAGAAATTCAGTCTATATTCTGTGATTTAATATCATGAATGTTTAATGTCAAACGCCCACCACATCTATTCAAAATACATCACTAGACTTATTACATAATAGTTTGATCAAATGTCAATGAAACATAATGCATAATGGATTCTTAAGTAGGTAAAATAAGTAACTTAAGTAAACTGAAAAATAGAAAAGTAGAGAAGTTCAATTATGTTTTGACAATAATATCAACCTCCATTTTATTTTATAGGATTAAAATTTTATATTTTCCATGGGCTACATTCAAGCTGGAGCTGTGATAAATGCGATTGCTTCCTTTCCTCATACATCCTATTTTCAATATTTTCCAAGCAAACTATACTGAGTCTAGAACATGTTGAGATTATGTACAGATGACTATTTGTGCCTGGACAAATTCTTAAATACTCAGTCCTCTACTAATGTGAATATTCATAACAAAAATAGTCTTTGTTTATGAAGGGGTACCAGCCGCATAATACACTGAAAATTAACATCATTGGTAAAGCTGAACAATATAAATCTCATTCTTTGGGACCTCAATCGCAATTGGTATCAAGTTGTTTGTCAAATATAATATGTAATATTTTATCTTTTCAATATAATATGCTTGTCAGTATTATTGAAGATTCCTGATTATTTAACATAAATAAAAGTTTTGACAATGTTTTCAAGTGCATGAAGGACCTCATGGAGTGTTGCTATTGTAATATGAATATTGAAATGTACTCCTTCAACCCATCAACTAGTTACGCAAAAAACATTTTCCCCTATATAATACAACACTAGAGTCCAACAGAATAATTTTATAATTATTAACATATAAAATCCCTTTAAACCCTACACAGATTAACAGTCATTTTTTCACCTTTATCATGATATTAGTTAATAAATGTCACTTAATCTATATTCATTACATTTCACAGACACCTCATGTCACTACTTTTGTGACATTCACTCTTGTTTTATTAAATCTTTGGACATTAATGTAATAGGTCTAGACAGTTTCTTTTTTGATTGAAGAGTTCAATAGATGACATTGTGGGTTTCATGGATAGAAGAGTTCTTTTTAACGGTCAACTGTAATAAGGTTTACTGCTCTGAATGTGAAGTAACTGAATTTACAAAATAAAATCATTGACAACATAATCAAAGCAATCGGTCATCATAGACCAGTTGAGGTTTAAGAACATTTCACCCATGTGTCTATAATCTAATGACATGAAAATTCGCCATCAATCCCTCCAAACAGCTGTCTTGTGGAATAAAAGCTTCACAGAACAGGAGAGGACAAGCTAAGTGAATAGCTTAATATACATATAGGTATCAAATAATTCAACTGACTGACCACCTCAAAATGACTGATTTATAAACAATGTCCACCTCCACATATAAATATAGAAATCTTAATCTAAGGATTCACCCGTCTTAAAGTATATCAATACATATTCAATGGTCAGATTCATTTCAATAATGAATTAAATTTAAATCAAAGGAAGAAATAAGCTTAAAAGGGTGTTTAAAGACTATTTCTAAAATACTTTAAACTTTAGTCAACAGAAATAAAGAGTAGAGTGACATTTTTTACCATTAAATAAATAGAAAAGTGTACTAGAGTAGTTGATATAAAAAGGTAGAATTACTATTTGTTGATATAAGACAATACTAGTGACTATTTCAAGTTTTATATAGGTTTTATATCACTCTTCTTGTCAATCTGTAATATCACAATCAGTTATATTTTATTAGATATACTGTTACTCCACTAGGGTTTAATACTATCTTAATAGTAGACTTAAGGTCAGTCCTAGAAGTATAATACCAAGGAATATATGGATATATTTAAATTGCTGACAATTTTGATGAAATGTGTGAAAGGTCATACAGGCTTTAAATAAAATGATTGCGTTCAGTACCAAATGAGAGACATTCGTGAAATTAAAAAAAAAAATTATTTATTCAAGTTGACGCTGATCTCATGTAGATAGATTTACATAACACTGTTGTTCAATTTACAAATTGCAGTGAATCTCTTTTGAATTGAGAGAAAAATAAACCATACGTCTACCCAAGCTACTCTTTATAAAATAAACAATGAAAGATGGTGTAAAGTGTAAAACTATTATCAGCCAATGAGTTGTCTAGCTTACTGTGGAATACACTCAGCATCTGTTCTACCAACTTGCTTTGATAACCTTTACATGAAATAGAACTGGTTATCAAAAATCTCCAGCAGTTGTTTTGATTGAAGTAAAATTGCTAACATTACAGTATATTGGTTACATAATAACCTTAAACAGTAGTATCAAATATGATACAAACCACATCCTATCTCTCATAACATGTCTGTATGTTCCAGGATTCACTACATTCATTTGGTGTCTTTAATCAGTATTCTACAACCAAAATCTCTTAATGTTAAACTACCAGAATATCTGATAATAACATTGTCTACAGTCATGACTTATCTCTCAGAAACCAGAACCATACAATGTAAAAGAAACAGAAATAAAGATATCCTTGTATTCAATTACTCATCTGTTTGTGCAAGTACTAAATGAACTGCATAATATTATTAATTTCTTATATCTCAAGATAAATCAAATCCATCAAATGTAAAAAGAAGAATCAAATTTCTCTGAAGCAACTATATTTTACCAGGATAACAGCTTAATGTACAACTAAGGATCCTTTCTTTCCTTTTCTATTCGTATCCAATTACACCTGGAATTATGAGTGAAGATGACTTATTCAAGGACTTTTACACGCCAATTGAGATTAGAAGCCACAGCTATCATGTTGGATGTAACCAAGTAAGTGACATTATGTAAAGGAGCAATTCTCCATGGCAAGATAGTTACAAATGCAGTCTACATCATTGTATCTCAATCTTTTACCTACCAAATCTGGTAAGATAATAAAATCATCATTTCAACAGTCTGAATTGAACATACTGCTAACAGAAATTTGTAGAATGTACCTAACTGACATGAAATACTGTATCCATTTCAATCTTTATATATTTTATTTTACACTTCACCTGTCATACTCATACATTCTTCATTCTTCAATTCTTCTCAATTCTTCATTCTTATCTCCTAGGTAATTTACTCAAGTACTTGCATTTGCCAATATTCTACTTATTATTCAAGAATATCCCATGCCACATTAAACTAAAAAGGATTCATGCACATGGACAGCACAATGCTACTTTTGGTGAAAAAATGATGCCATTGTTAGCAATTTCATATCCTTTAAATTATATTTCTAAATTAAGTTAATCCAAAATATACTTAACAGCTCAAATTTTATCAATTTATACATAACCATTTGTAGACAAATGAAGCAGAAAAAGAATAAGGTATCTAGTATTTAAGATGAAAATGACTGATGATATATCTATATTAATATGGAAATGTCTGGACATTAAAGTAATATGTTGAAAACTTACTGACCAGGATAGAGTTTGGAATCATGTTATGTGAACCACATTGATTTCATCAGTTTGTAGACTTTTGCTATTGGATTGTGATTTATTTTAGGTTAGGTTAAATACTGTATTTTCTGTATGTTATTTATTATCAAATAGGTGTTGTCTAGCTAAAGCCAAAAATTACAACTACCATTTGATAAAAATTTGAACAAAAGTTTTGTAAAACGTTAGATGTAAACAAAATGGATGTTTACTATGGAGAAATCGGGACATTATTAAATGTTCAGGAAAAATAAGAAGTCTATCAGGAGACGCCTCACTTTAAACCTATGATGTTCACTTGGAATTTCATCAAAGACATGTTAGTGGTATACAGGAAGTTTCTACACCATTCATTCTATCAACTCTATGGAACATAAACAAACTTAGCATTTCTATAGAAATTATTCCATTTGTTAGAAAAACAACTTGGCTATCAGTAGTTCCTCAAGGCCAATAACTATCAAATTAATATATCTTTACATGTGGAAGACAGGTTTGTTGTCTTTCATTCCATATCAAGATAGATTAAGCTGTAAAACTCTTTTGTGCAATAGGTTCTAGTGCTGACTATATTTTTATTTTTAGCTATTAGTTTAGATCATATTTTCTCTTACATTTCAGTTAATGCTTTTTAAATTCATATCACCTGGTTGCCAGGTTTGACAAGTAAGAAGGGTTAAAATCATGACCAAAACATAACCATGTTACATCTTAGTCATGACATTTCTTAGATAATAAATGCAAAGTTTTATAGATAATTTCAGATAGTTGTTTGAAGATATTATATTTGCATAGAAAATAACTCATTTTCATCATAACATTGGTAAAATGTCAAATGTCCATGTTAAAAATTTTCATGTATCGTTTATGACTTCATAAAAATTAAAAAGTAATATTTTCTTTATATTTTAATGGTTATTTCCTCTATATTATATTACAAGTAGTCGATATCATTAAAGTCAAGTAATTACTTTTTAATATAACTTTAATTACTTCTATTTTAATAAATTTTTACCTTTTTCTTCAACCTTAACCTGGGTGTAATATAACGTCAGATATAAAGGCTAATATTAGTAATATAATACTTTTGTAAAAAAATACTTTTATAATTCTATTTTTTGTATCTTATTTCTAGATTTTTTTGAGTAATGAAGCTTCACTAAAAAACAGATCATCTCTGGAAAATTAATTTTTTGTTGTTTAACTGTGATTTTCATTTCATACCTGTGTTTCAGGTAAAGTCATTATGTTATTACATGTATTAACAGATGTTGGTATACTAGTACTGGTATTATACTGTTACTTTATCTTTATACCATCTAACATAACCTTACAATGTTAATTATCAATAGCATTACCTAACTTTATCAATTACCATTAACATCATGTATCTTTCAAACTATCAACAAATTCTCAATACTTTATCAACATGTTTATTAATCTAAACACATGTATAATATACTGGTGCTGATAAAATAAAAACTGAAAAACTTCATATTTTCACAAAATATATCTATCACAGCACATTAGTTTAATTTTTGAAATATGGTTAAAATCATTCTTTACTTATCCATAAATGAGAATTCATTGTTTTATAAACTAAATTTGCTTTTGACTGATACTCAGTTTTAATTCTACTTATAGACCAGTAAAAAGATGTTACAAAATAACTATGTTTTAAAGAGATAACAAGGTGCCACATTATCTAGCAGAGAGATGAAAGCATCTGATAGGTTAATGATTTGTGATAACAGTGATACTATATTTACTATGTTATTTACAGATAACCTTAGATTATATCACAGTGGCAGATCATGATAACATTAAATATATATCATATAATTATCTGTAACTAGCTATGATTAAACATCTAGTTTTGAGAGGTATATCTTAGTCCTCAATTCTTATTAAATACAGACATGTTGAGTTGGTGCAAACATAATAGAATTATTACACCAGAAAGATAAAAAAAAAAAAATCTAGATGATTGTGCATTATCATATTTTATAAAATTTTCAATGCACTTGTCTATGTCATCACTCAAAATTTGCACAGATTTTGATAACACTTTCCCATGCAATAAAAAGCATCTATGTGCAGAAACTTCATAACTCTATGTGAAGTTTTAGTATTTCGTTGAAGAAATATGTAAGGTAGAGGTATAATATACACATGTAATATGTAATAGTTACCAAATGTGTTAAATTTTTCTTTGATCAAGATGTTTAAATAAGTATATATGCAATAAGTCATGAGAAACTTCATTAAATGTCAAATAATATACTCATACTTCTTCTCACAGCTTCTATCTTTATCATATTTCATTTAATATCTAACAGAATAGAAGAAAGCTATAGGCTAACAGATTCCACCTTGACAAATCAAAGCTGTGTTTATATCACATATATTTCCAGCACCAACCCATGTTGGTAGAAATTTATTTTCCATATGACCTGGGTCAAAACCTGTTAATATCTTCATTACCATGGAACAAGCTCATAGAAGAACTAAGATAACTAACAAACTATCACAAAACTACAGAGCCTAAGCAATTATAAAAAGATGTCTATCACAAAACTACAGAACCTAAGCAATTATCAAAAGATGTCTTGTATTTTTGATACCAACATCATAATCTGGTCTTGATTATTAAGAACTACAAGCATTGTAGACATTGACCAGCAACATGCAATGGTGCAAATAGAATTTAATGTATCTCTGGTACACAAAAGAAAAGTTTAACCAAACAAAAAACATCATTCAAATGCTTTAACTAACTGCCCGTTCACATGCAAAGAGTAGAAAACTTCTTTTGATTCCTATGTCATAACATTCAGATTTCTATTATAGAAGATTGCTTACCTTGTAGTCAGGTCCAATAGGCTTGGAACATTCTTCACAATTATTAGCAAACAATTGTTGATAGCATGGTATACAGTGAGGATGTTCTTCTTTCAAAATATAACGACAAGCTATTAACTTCTTCTCACAGTTATGACAAGCTAAATGATCTTTATGGTAATTCTGATCCATGGCTGTAGTATATTCGCCGGAAAATATTAACTGAAAATATATAGAAAATAATATTTAAACATGGGGTGGAACTAAATTTCTTTTACTGATATGCATTAAATAGCTTGGTAAGACTGAGATATTATTCATATCAACCCTGTTTTATTACATTCTACAACAATAACACAATATTCTTAATATATTTAGAGATAGTGATAGATTCTGACAAATTTCATCAAATACTCCCACACTTCTAAATAATTTCAGACTATAAATTTGTGACCGGCCTAGAAAATGAAAATTACCAGTAAGTTCTGAACATTATTATCAATGTGCAACTTTCGGGTACAATAGAATAATTCTAAGACTTTAAAATCTGACTCTTACAAAATTATTTTAAACATCATCAATATATGTATACTTTTCAATAAATATTTAAGTAGATCCCCCTCTAGTATGAGGCTAACCAGAGTATTCTCGTGTCTGTTTTCCACACTAAACCGCTTTCAGTTTTGCCTTATCTTTTATGGATTCTTTTTTCATGATTAATCATAGATTCATGAACTGATAATTGAATCTGAAGGAACTTGTATCAAGTATGCAAACAATTTATTTGAAGCTAATTGATATACATGATAGTTCTACTACTTCTGGTTTAAATCTATCAAACTAGATGATACTTGGCTAAAGTTAATATTAAACAGAGCAGAATCTTATCAGTTACATGTTAGATACAAATTAAACATTTTCCCTACCAGTTTTCAAAGATGGTTGACGATTCAACATATGTTGAACCAAACTAAGGGTTCAAATGGTACAAAAACCAGTATCAGTCTTCCTGTTTTCCAATTTCATATTGCTCTATTGTTCAGTGATTTTCCTTACTTTGCTTACTAGTGTCTTGATTATTGGAATACAAGTTATTCCCATGTCCTGATTTTGTATCAAAAAATCACGTTGACATTATATTCTGTAGTGGAGTGTCTGGATCCAAAACCAAACGTGCAATTTTCACCAAAGATTCCTGTGTAAAAACATGACCTAGCAAAGGTTTCAGAAAACCATTGAACATGTGACAAGTAGTGTTCACCCTATTAAATCTGGATAAATCATGGCATTTCATACTAATTCTAAAAGTTTTTTTAAAAAGTCTGATAATTAAAAGCAATATTTCACATGCTGGAAAGAAGTAGTTTAGGATTGCTATGTACTTTAAAAGACTTCTTACAAGTGTTTTTAACAAGTCAGAAGAGAAACTGATATAGAGATTAAATGATGTAAACAATATTTTGCTCTACATTTTACACAAATTAATTTAAAGGGAATGTCACTGAACTTTGTATATATAAAGTAAAATTAAATAGATCTAAATAATCAAAAACTTATAAAGAGCATGTTAAAAATTCATTTCACATCAAAACAACAAAAGACCACTTGTCAAATTTCAACTTGATCTAAACTTCAAATAAAAGTTCCTCACACAACCAGTTCAAATTGACTCACTTTTATTTAAGCAAATAAAACATCAACCTTTTCTTTTCACAACCAGAAATAAAATACTCATTTCTTTTTATCAAAGGCTACTAAATTGGTGGATAACAAAAACAGCATCTCAATCCTTTGAATTTTGTATTGAAGTTTGTCATTTTCAAATGCTTCAGTAAACTAAAGGATCATGCTCAACAATATGTAAAAAAAAAAAAATCGGTCAAAAACTTATTGTAATAAACTAAAACTGTATAATTTTGTTCTATACTTTTGAGTTTTCATGGTAAAAGGATAAATGAATCTTTGTCATTTGTAAATGAATGTAACCAGTTGTGCTATAGTTCTTCATCAATCCATCTGGAATTTTACATTTTTGTGGCCAACTCATAGATTTTTCTACCTTTAATTTGAAGTACATTTCATTACTTCATTCAGATCAAGTAGAAGTCATTTTTAGTCATAATTTGTTGAGCCTTTAAAGAGTCATGTTTGAATCCTTCTTTCATGTAACTTTTCTGAAGCCACACCCTATATGAAATGTTTATCAGAATGCATCTAGGTATGAATATGTTGATCAGTGTGTAGTAAATAATTACGTCATAAAGTAACAAAAATAAATAAATTGTATAAGGTGACCTCAACCTAAAAACTTGCTCAGAAAATCAGTATGATGTCAAACCTGTCACTATCTTTAACCAAATAATTGAAATAGACCTAGCATATCATTTTATCATATTTAACTAACTAATATAACAACAGGACAGTTTTCAAAAGTAATTAAAAACTCTGTAACATGATGTTAAATGTATTTTAGATGAGGGGAAAATATATGACATATTTTCAATTGAGTATTTCAAACACTCATCTTGAATGAAAAAAAGTTGACAAAGTGATTTTGAAGTTCATTAAATGATTAAATTGAGCAAATAGACTTCAAGTTCATTTTAATTTTGAATTAAGTTTGTGCCATTTGAGCTTATATGTATTTTTCGATAATCTGGTAGATTTTGTAGTAAGTTCATTTAGTAAACAGGGCAAGTTTACCACTTTCACCGTTTTTTGCTATGTTCTATATAAAATACAACTCTACCTCCTTATCCCCATCTGATACATCGACAGATTCCAACATATCCACTAGGACTTGTTCAGGATGACTTTCCATAGTATCCATCTTGATATCACTAACTTTTTATAACTTTTACTCCAATATATCTCACATTTTACAGAGTACAAAGTAATCCTAAATCTTTTACACCAAGTGTGTGAAACAATGTAAAGAATATATCCTTTTGAAATTCACTCTTTTTAAACTAGGTTGGGAGAAAAAGATTTGACAACCTTTCGCCCACCACTCAAGTTGTTTAAATGAAGTCAACACAGCAGACAGTCTCGCCTCTCTATATACTACTATTCACACATATGGGTCCTGTCAAACTTTGTTTCATGTTACATCATCTAAAAACAAACTTGTAATGGAAGATGAGTTCACTGTTGAAAGGCTTCAAGTATTCCCATTATGTGAAAGTGAACATATTTTGGCAAGTTTTTCCTGGTTTCATTACAAATCAATAAGAAGAGTGAATAACTAGGGTCTAATATAATTTGAGAAATGTGTACAATACAGTCTAATAAATTTCACCATATTATACAACTAGTATCATATACCACTTTTCTCTATCATTGGATGAATTATCTGACTAGATATCTATTGATAAGTATATTAAATACTAACAATTCATTCATATCAGAATGTCAATTTCTGTTTCTGTTTAGATAATCTTGTCATGTGACTGTCTCACAGATAGGGGCTCATTCTCAAACCCAATTGAGTGAAGTAGCTCAAGACCTCAAAAGCAGTAACAGAGACATAAAACTTTTTAGCTCATATGATTGAAGTTTATCAAGAATTGTCAGTTGCATCAAACTTTATTTTGCACTTCAGAGATTCAAAATACCTTCTACTCAGGACATGAGAAAAGTTTTGGTCGCCAATATTTTAAGCAGATTAGAAAAAAATTGCTGACAAATATCAAACTGGTTTGATGTTCAAAATAATGCTGGTAACGCCATAGTCTTGATGTGGCTGTGCAGACACATAAGAGATTCCATAAAAAACCGTTGGTGTGTCCTCACAATAACAAAAGTCAATCCAACATTCTGTAGATTAAGCTATTATATGATTTATATTTGTTGAATTGTTAAAGATTTTGAATGACAAGAAGAAGAAGGAATCAATATACTGTCTGTAACTATATTATTAGGGTAGTTAAAACATGATGTAAGAGATAGGACTGAAAATTAATGAATATAGAAAATAATAACTAGAAAGTCCAGCATTTGATGTTATTGATTCTTTATCTATAATGTAGCACCATTGTTTACTCAGATGTGTTATGAATCTTAATTTCTTCCACTTAACTGTTTCTTTGAATTGAACAGGTTACGAAGACCTTCACTTTACTTTCGTCTGCATCAAGACAGTGAAACATGTAACACACAGCAATTAGAAATGGAGTTGCTATTCCTGGACTCAATGATTGGCCTGGAATAATTTCTGGTTCATTCAATGTCTGACTCAGGACTGTTGATTTGTGTTTGCCAGTCATGTTTAAATTTATCTCAGTGATGACTGTCTGTGGTTTGGAACTTGCAGGCATTTTGATGTATTTCTAATCATGACTTTTTGACATAAAGTTGTAAATTTTATTAAGAAGCAGAGTTTCATAGAAATGTTAAAACTTAAACTGATGCAGAAGTAAATCTATATCTATTTAATTTTAATCACAATCTTAACAATGAGATGTTTTATTTACTGCGATGTGTTTTCAGGTCAGCAGAAATCTTTGTTTATCTTGATGTAGATTTTGGTCCAGGGAGGTTGTTCAAATATTGTTGAGGACAGTCAGATAAATAAAGATAAATCCTCTAGTTTTGGCTGATGTATACTGTTCACTATCAAGTGTCAAAGGTGATGTTTGCGTCTGCCGATTGTCTATGTATCTTGTGCTTGTATTACATTCCACTAGCCTTGCTCTCAGCTTTAATTGTTATGGTCAAATAAACAACTAAACCCTTCTTTCTACATTAAGTAGTCATGACGGACCATTCTAAATGTCATCAGTGATTAAAGCTCCACCTATAAACTTTAGTTAATGAAAATACATTAATCAAAAAATTTCAAGAATGGGTGCTACTGAAAAAACAGTACCTGAAAATCTGTATTCAACTTCTCAAACAATTCATCATCTTAATCAATTGAAAATAACTTATGAAAGTTGAAATGATAATAATAAAAAAGGAGTCTTAAAATCTTAAATGTCTTATGAGCTCAATTTACCACACCTGTAATAACAGAGCTTAATTTTTCTTTCTTTCTGACTGTGAATATAACATCTGAAGATACCATCTCAGAACTCATTTGGAGACAAGGCTAAAATAAGCCTACAGTAACTTAATTCAAAATGGAAGTTTCTCAAAAGGCTTTAAAACAAGATTCTCACTGGATGTGAAGAAGAGAATTTCTAGCCGTTAGC